CAATTGTAATTAGATTGCAATTCTTAAGACTACTATCTCTTTCCGTATCATACGTTCTATATCATCTGTCACATTCACTTATATATCTCTATATATAAAAATGAAACGCTGAATGTGTTGCTAAGCGCAAATCTCGAGAAAAGCTGAACCGATTTCGCTTATTCTTTTTTTATAATATTCCTTGAAGTACGAAGATGGTTCTTACGGAAAGAAAAAGTTTATAATTTTACCTGAAGAAGACTAAAAACAAGACTTTTCTATATTACCATACAAAAGATTCGTAATACTTAAAAGTCAATTTGAACTTTCATATCATACCATAAAGTTTAAGTGTTAGGGGATAGAGTGATTCAATAGGAAGGTTTATACGTATAATATATTGCACCCATGCGAAGCCGGGACGGGTCGCTAGTATGTCATATAATTTAATACGGAACAGTATGGAGATGCGTCTTCTTTGTTAAAACATCTTTGCTCAAAAGTGATGAAACGTTAAATTTACCGATGCGTGTAAGGTTTTATTTTATATTTTAAGTCTGACTGTTTTGTAATTTGTCTCTTTCTTACTATTCACGGTGAATTCGCATAACTTAGTTTTTAAAGAAACTTGTATTATAAGCCAAACATATGGATATTTGTAGAACAATTTTTTTATAATCAATAATTAATTTCGTTTCCATTTTTTCTACAAAAAGAAGAAGTTATTCTTTATTAGCGTAACAAAAGAGAAATAACTAAAATTTTTATCGGCTGTGCCAGATCTCTGTTTCTGAAAAACACATTAAATGCCAAATTGATAACGGTTTAATTAAATAACTTTCAATAATAGGTAATTTTGACAGTTGTTATTGGTAAGTTGTAACGAGTTGTTATTGGCTGACATGGTAAAACCGTGAAACATGAACCGTTGGTTGCAAAGCAATACTTGAACACAGTGTATTGTATCATCATCATCATCATCATATCAGCCGTAGGACGTCCACTGCTGAACATAGGCCTCCCCCATTGACTTCCACTTCGACCGGTCGTTAGCGGCCTGCATCCAACGCGTCCCTGCGATCTTGGCTAGGTCGTCCGTCCACCTTGTGGGAGGCCTTCCTACGCTGCGTATTGTATACACTAGTAAAATAGATTTAGTTATATTTGTTTATATATGATTATGTATATTCTTATATGTGCCAAAGCTAAACATTAAAAATTACGTACTTATAAGTGTAACAACTGTTGTAAAGGTCATTTAAAGGCTTAGTTTATTAAGAGATTAGAATATAATTATGTCAAGAGGAGAAAGGGATTTTAACAAGACCACATAATTATATAAATAATTTACAGGTCATTAAACGGCGTGGTTCATTAGGAGATAAGAATACGTAAGGAGGAGGTAGGAATTGTTAAAATACCACATAATTATATAAATATTTTGAAATTCATTAAAAGGCTTGCTTCATTAGGAGATAAGAATACGTAAGGAGGAAATATGAATTGTTAAAAATACCACATAATTATAAAAATATTTTGAAGTTCATTAAAAGGCTTGGGTCATTAGGAGATAAGAATACGTAAGGAGGAGATGGGAATTGTTAAAAATACGACATAATTATAAAAATAATTTAAACGTAAAAAAGGCTTAGTTCACAAGGGGGTAAGAAAAATTTTACAAGGGAGAACGGAAGTATAACAAGAGACATATTATAGAGAACTAGTGACCCGCCCTGGCTTCACACATGTATAATGTATTTATATAAACCTTCCTCTTGAATCACTCTATCTAGTAAACAAAACCGCATCAAGATCGGTTGCGTAGTTTTAAACATCTAAGCATACATAGGGACAGACAGCGAGACGACTTTGTCTTATACTATGTAGTGATACTTAAATTATTTTCTTAGTGTTCGGTAAATACGACTTTAACTGAACGTATCTAATCGCACACATCCCACATATAAAACCAACGATGGTTAAAACATGACAGTGGACGTTGGACAAACGCGAATTTCGCTCTAATTACCTCGTTCCTTACTTAGTATGCGGCGAAGCGTCGTGTGTAAATACATCAGACTAAAAAGCCTGTTCACATTTGGTTTCGAGAGCGGAATTTCCAATTTGTGCTGTACTCTCCGAGGCGTGGGGCGCGTCGCTTATAATCTCACCGCGTGTGCGCCGGTGATAATCGACTAGGACGGAATACAATGTAATGTCGGCAATCGTACACAATGACTAAGACCCTAGCGGTATTCGGGAATGCTACAGTTAAATTTGCAACATGTATGAAGCAGCTATGTCTGCTACCGAGATAATTATGTGAACAGATCTTGACATGTACATGTTTTAAAGATCGTCGATTACAGATTATATAGCCCAAAACCAATCTGGTTAATATAATATCGCCGAGGACGTGCTCTAGAGACTTTTTCTAGAACCAATTTCTTTCGCGCCATAATTTGCTCTTTATTAATTCTATCCATTTGTTTTTTTAATTTTTAGATTGCACGTGTTCAATATTTTATTGTTACGAAAAGTAGCAATGAGACACTTTTTCTTTGTTTTTTATAAGAAGACTGAGAAGAGATTTTAAATCATTAGCGATTATTTAGGTCTGTGGTTAATTAAGGTCTATACAAATATGTAAAAGAGTGCGAATAATAAAAATCTTTGTTCTAGTATTAGTAAAATAGTGGAAGATGGACCTCCAAACGGCTTTCAAAATGACTTAATCATGGAATTGTTGCAAATAGGATATGTACATTTCACATTAGTGATTATATCACATATGTGACTTCAAGTGATTTGAACAGAGAAAAAGTAAGCTGTTGATGACACTTCACCCATGAGTTTTAAAATGTGCGACGAAATGTCCGGGCAAAAGCTTTTGCTGTTGCACGAATGGGCAGAGTCGTCCGAGGAAGTACCACGACCTCACAGAAGACCGAAATCAAGTGGAATCAGTATACTTTTGAGTTTCGTGTGGCGAGTGAGTTAAACGGGGCCCACTTTTTTAATGTTGGCCAGGACCGGATTTAGGGGGGGGGGGGGGGGGGAACCGACCCGGGGCCTCCACAAAAGAGGACCCCCACAATAGACTTCGGAAAAAAAGTTTCAAATTCAGACTAGTAAACAACTTATCCTTTCGTATTTTATTTTCGTGTTTTACTTTAACCTACAGTACAAACAACTTTGTACAAACATGATTACATTAAATATACAACAGAATTATTATAACATTAAATATATAACAGAAGTCAATAGAAAATAATTTGGGGCCAAGGGGCCTCCACACTTTTGTTGCCCCGAGGGCTCCATACCTCTAAATCTGGCCCTTATGTTGGCAACACATCTGCAAAGTCAGGGGCATTCCACGCGAAGCGGACAGGTAAAAAAAGTTGAAGTCTCCGATTTTAGTAATATTTGATTATGTTATACCTATATGTGCCCTCAATCCAGATACAAAATATTTTTTCAGTATAAAATGTAGTTTACGATTTAGAGAGCTTTAAAAATGTGACTAACCGGCAGGTATGCGCCACTTCGAATCCCATTATCCGGTATTGAAAAGATAAATGTGTGAGTACAAGTGAAGATTATAAAATTGAATTTTTTTTAATAAACATTAATCGAAACATAATAACGTCGTTTTATTGTAAATTAAAGTACATATAAGTAAGATCAAATGATTTATTAAACTCAATTAGGTAAACAAAATATTCTGTTGGATGTTTTTGTAACCTCGCGTTAACTGGCTGTAGGCGCGATCTTGGCACCGGCGCTACCCTTCGACACTGTAGATGGCCTAGCTCCTAAACGACTTCTCGGCCCATTATGCAACTTGGCAAGGACTATCTATACACTATTAACTAGTTTTAGAAAAAAAAATTAAAAAAATTAAAGTGGTCCAAAAATGCAATTAGAAAGCTCATTAAATTAAGCATACACTTGACTACTTCATTTATTTTCATTTATCTTTTCAATACCGGATAATGGGATTCGAAGTGGCGCATACCTGCCGGTTAGTCACATTTTTAAAGCTCTCTTAATCGTAAACTACATTTTATACCGAAAAAATATTTTGTACCTGGATTGAGTGCCCATATAGGTATAACATAATCAAATATTACTAAAATCGGAGACATCAACTTTTTTTACCTGTCCGCTTCGCGTGGAATGCCCCTGGTTTTTTAAGTATCCTATGCAGCGGTAATCACTTGCCATCAGGTTAACCGCCCGCTCGCTCGACAACTTTTCATATATAAAAATGAGATGCACATCTTTCAAAATTACTCTCTCGCTCCGTTAATTTCTTTCTCCTTTTGAACTCAGACTGACCTAGTTTAAGTTTCATGTTAACTGCAGCGTTAAGCTCACAATTGCGTAAACATCGAAAGAAAAAGCGGGCTGTATTATAAGGAGATACGCGACTTACAAATAATTCTTGCTCGGCTTGTACAGCGGTGCAAGTAGACGGCACGACTTTGACCTCAGACTTTACTTCGGGCGAATTAGGCGTAAATTTATGCCAATTTCAAATGTCCACAGCGCCGCAAGCTTCCGCTGACCAATATCGATATTGTATAACGTTTGTATTGTAGACGACGGTGAACCAAATTATTTTTTTAATTGATTTTATTTTGTATAAACATTTTGAAGTAGATATGACGTAAGAAGTTATACTTCTTTAGCATAACAAAAGAAAAATAACTAAGAATTTATTCCCCTGTGCCAGTGCTCTTTGTTTGTGGAAAAGAAATTAAACGGTAAAAGATAACGGCTTATTTAAATAACTTGGAATTATAGGTAATTGTCAAAAAGATTAAGTTGGTCGTTTTGCAACCAACTTCATGTCGCTTTTTGGCTGTCGGTGTAAAATTTTCACCCTCATAACTTTTACCAAACGCGCCAAAAGAAGTGTTACTTCGAGAATAAAAGGACCGTCGTTGAAGGCCGAGGTCAGAGTCGGGCCAACTTAAGCGTAGCGAAGTGTAAAGTGGTTGCGAAGCGGTGCGTACCTAACTCACCGTCGTGCATCGGATCGATGGTGTGTATCATGAGCTGCAGCAGACCGTGGCGGAACTTGGCGGCGGGCGGCGGCGCCTTGCTGGTGCCGGGCGCGGCGGCCGACGCGGTCGCCGTGTTGGTCCCCACCGAGGTCTCGCTGGACGTGGTCGCGTTGCCGTGCTGTTGGCGAATTAAAGCTGACGTTACTTGACGACGAAGCTGTCAGTGTCACATTCGCCGGACGCTGTTCGGCTGTGGGGGATTAAGGTTGACTTTACTTGACGGCCAAACTGCGTCACATTCGCCAAATGCGACGCTTGGGTCTGTGGCTGTGGGGAGTTAAAGCTGGCGGTACTTGATAACCAAATTGTCAGTGTCACATTCACCAAATGTGTAGCTTGGGTCGGAGGCTATGGGGAGTTAAAGTTGACGTTACTTGATAACCAAATTGTCAGCGTCACAGTTGCCAAATGTGATGATCGGGTCTGTGGCTGTGGGGAGTTAAAGTTGACGTTACTTGACGACCAAATTATCATCGTCACATTCACCAATTCCCAATTCTTGGGTCTGTGGCTGTGTGTGTGTGTCACATTCACACGCTGATGGCTTTGGTCTGTGATCGATCCTATGACGTTCAAGGTAGAAGCGTAATCTTTTTTTTTAATACAAGAATGCCTTAAGCATTTCAAATGTCAGAATCGTTGCTTTTATGTTGTGAATGTGTAATGTTTTTAATAATAGGACCACGCTGTAACATCTGCTGAAATCGAATGGGCAGGCTCGTCCTGTCAATACAGCCCCATGGAATATTGGCGCAGGCGTTATATTTTTGCGTTTCACCAAAGAACTTGAGGTTTTGAATAATCTTTCCCTCCTTTGTTGTATAGCATGTGAAAAAAGTTACGTTTAATAAAATGTATTCACTTTTTGGAATTTTATCTCATTTTTAATAATTTAAATTTGTGCATGGCACCGTCGACGTTTTAATCTGAACATTTAAATTGAACGCGATAAAAGATACGTGAAAAAAGGTGGATTTAAAATTTTTCCAATTTTCCTATGTTCTCAGAAAATTTTCATCTTAATCGAAAAAAGCACGCTTCTCCAATGGTTCGTTCGATTTCACCGAATTCCTTTTCTCTTTTTTATCCGAATTCTATACGATTATCTCGAAGAGAATTCCGTATTTGTGTTGTCGCTGAATTCTTAATGAATTCGCCAAGTTATTATCGGTAGCGTTGGATATAGACATTTTAAATTTAAATTGGACGCTTTAATATAAACTTGCATAGGACTTTGCGTTTCTCGTTTCATTTCATTGAGTTATTGTTTACGTCTAATGGACATTGCTAAGAGTGACGTAATGATTCCCCCAATCAACATTTTGTTTGAGTTTTAAGTATGTAACGAATTTCATTAGCGTTAGTTATGGATATGTTTTCTGTATCGTAATAGAAAACGATACAAGTAAATACATTTTCTTTTACGGTTTTAGCCTTTCGTATGTCCGTTTCGCTCTCTGGACTGTTATTCACCTTATTTTTTATCTACAGCTATATAGTTTCAGATGGTATAGTTTTTTTGACAATCTTTGATTGGTAGTTTTCAGGAACGAACTTGTAGTTGAACTAAGTAGGATATACGTATAATTTTAATTTCTATTGTTAAAATTTATCTTTGGCTGGAAAACGGCATAGCATATTATTCTTAATCACGCAAAGTTTTATAAACGTTGTTGTTTAGAAATTCAAATTCTTGTCATACTTCGAATAGTTGATTAATTTTAATATCTGAAATGGTATTCACATTTTTTAAAATTTTTGTACTGTAGTATAGTAAGTATTACAGTACAAAAATTTAACAAATGACACAAACTTAACCCCTGTTTAAGATATTGGTAGAGTTTTATTATAATAACAATAACGTCACGATAATGCGGTTAAAATTATTTGTGTCCCCAAGACAATGAAACATACTTTAGAGGATGAACCAGAAATAATTTACGAGAAAGCCAGGGGCGATGTTTAGCGAATATTTTCCGAATGTGTGTAATAAGTGGGGCCTTTATCCTTCGTTTGTGTATGTCTCTTATCTGTAGAGTAATCTTTTCGTTCTTTAGGAAGTTCGCTTTAATGATAGTTGTGACAAATGTGTAGGTAGCCGAATTATAATTTAGCGTGTTGGAAATTTCTTATTGTTTTATAAATGTTTTATCCATACAAGGTTAATGGAAATTGTATACTTATTCCTTATGTTATTTAAACCTTAATACTAACATAAATAGAAAGGAAGATAACTCTATGCGTCCTCATCAATCAATTCAGTTTAAGGCAACAGTGGCTTGAGGGAAATTTTAATGTTAAAACTCGTTACCCATCTTCTTAACCTTTATCGCGATAACTTCCATTAATCTACGTTAAATTCAATAATCCAAACACTACATTAAAGCTTATGTTTGAAATATAGACGTTTTCATGTAAATACGTCTTTAGAAATAAATTAATTCCATCAAAAGAAAATTTCTTTAAATGAAATATAGCGAAATCGATTATATTTAACCGTTTTTCTTCAAAACCGGTTACATTTCACTGTACGTATATACTTTTTTATGTGAGAAAGCGGCAAGTGAGCTGGGGATCATATGATGTTTGCAGATACGTTGCCATGTGCAATAAAGTGTGACCCCCTGTTACCTCACTCACCGCGCGAAACGCAGAAGTGTAACACTTCCACTTCCCGTCGGTCTTCTGTGATGTCGTGGTACTTCCCTGGACGGACCTGCCCATTCTTGCAACAGCGAAGACTGTTGCGTGGCCCTACCTGTCTGCTGCCTTTACAATCTTAAGATGTTAATTATTCAAGCGGTAGAGACTATATACCTTACGAATGTTGTACTTAGGAGGAAATTATTTGTTTCTACATCTTTGCATCGAGTAAATATATATATATATATATATATATATATATATATGCATAAGCCGAATAATTCGAAGCGATTGTGCCTACGCCAAAACATTAGGGAATATACAGTAAGTCGTCCTTTGTTCAAGGGGCATAATGGCCAACAACGACCGATTTATTTGTAGAAAGGTTTGGGACGTAGCCCCAACCACTTGTGCGTCGACTCATATCGATCGCGTCTTCATCCCCGTTTGTGGATATTTTCCCGTTTTGATCACGTCTGCAACACTTAATGAACATTGATGCCATTCGACGAAAGAATAACGTTCCGAATTCCCGTAACGAAGTCACGAGCACAAACGGTGTTAACTGGGCCACGGCTACAGCGAACACTGTTGTTTGGCCCTACCGGAGCTATGTTATCAATGACATATTATGTAAAAAACGGTACGAATCGCTGAGATTAATGTAATTTACAATAATTAATAAATAATAATAATTAATAAATAACATCCTGTTACCGTTCAAATCTAATCCCGTAATTGCTTAACGTCTGAGTAACTTTATTATAATGGCAGCGCTTTATCTAGACTGAGGTGTTGAAAATATGAATTTAAAACGGTCTCAAATAAAGACCGTTATGTCTCCACTGTAAGCTTATCCGGGACCAGCGAATTGGATGCGAATTGATCTTAAGCAAAGATCAACTAATAAGATGATAGTTATATTTTAATTTACTACATTTACATAACATTTAATTTACTTAATTTAATTTACTACATTGAGGGAGAATTTTCAAGTAGGCGTGCATTTGATGGCCAGATTAGAAATATAAAAATACACTCGTGCACGATTTTGAAGAACACGAAAAGTACATAGTTGGATTTTTGGTAAATAGAGTAATGGAACCAGTAGATTTGTTAAAGAAAGACACATTAATACAGCATTTGATAGCGAAGGTTATAAGGATCAAATTCTGGGAAGTTACTGAAAACTGAGGGAATATGTCGGCTTAATCATTTCCACATTTGGGGTTTACAGATATGCACTCATTATCTTAGCGGAATATATGGACTCGTTATCGGTTTGGACGAAATTGTCACGAGGTCACAGAGATCACAGAATTACTTGTCAGTCCATCATAGTTTTGATGTAAATTGTTCAAAGAAATTTAGACTTTGACGTTAATATTTTAATAAAAACATAACACAAGTAAAACTGTGTGAAACTGTGTAGAAATGTGTTTATTGCGTCATTTTACACTGATAAGTGCGCCATTGCTGATCAGCATTACTCTCATCGGCAATATCATCATATTCGTCTTTTGGAAACGTCACCAATAACATTAAATGGCAGAAATGTTAAAGCTGAAAATTAATTCCGCTTTCAATAACCGAGTCCCATTTAAAACATTGATTAATATGACAACATACATTACAGCATACATTTTGAAATAAATAACTGTTAAATTAAGCAGTTATTGATGTTGGCGTCCGAACAATTGCGGAATCGCATTTAGAGCAACAGCACCAGTGAAATATTACAAACGCTTAATAGCCCCCGTCGGAATCATTTTGCGCGTGTGTTAACCGCCTCGCCACAGATTAAAAAGGTAATTAAAACGGGCGCAGCGTGCAATTTTCTTATTCCGTTTTAATTCTTTATTTTAAATGTTACTCCGCTTTTTAATTTTCATCATTAATCCCGATCGGAGCTAGAAGTGTTTCTATATTTTAAAAGAAGTTCTAGATTCGAGACATACGTTTAGTTTCTTCATCAGCTCAAGATTTCAATTAATGTGTTGGCAGTAAACAGTAAGGTACGGGTATGTAAAGATGATTGCGTTTATCATGTTACGTCACTCAACCGTCATTCGGCGTTGAGTGTGTTTCTTCTTTGTATTCTTCAAGGTGATGGTTTTTTTTTAATTTAGAACTAGGCCAGAACTTGACTGCTATCCCACCTGATGGTAAGTGGCGATGCAGCCTTTGATGGTAAGCGCGCTAGCTCAGTTAAAACCTATTCAATCTTGCCTTGAAGACGCCAACGTTGTAATGGAATTTGCTTTGTGAAGATTCACTATACACCCGCGACTTCAAGCAAAGTTTTAGTGCAATTAAAGATAGAGATATCGTTTAACATATATTCGAAATACTTTTTTTGTCATTATTTAGAAAATATGCAGGGTTCCTGAGGTGTTTTCCTTTACAGCTGTGCACGTAACAAGTCGGCGCTTATAAATAAAACAAATCATTGGTACCGGCACCGGGGATCGAACTCAGGTTGCTCGAGTATATCGAATTAAAGGCGAGCGCCCGGACCCTGAGCTATCACGGCTCGTCATACCATATGATAATTACGTAATGAACTAAATTCGATTCTCCTTCACACATTCGCTTGACCTACTTTTTTAAATAACGCCTTTTGTGGTCGTGAAAGATTTTCTCGAGACGAAGATGAACGAAGATTGATCGGAGGCGGCTTCAAGTTTCACGAACTGGTATTATATTACTACTGTCCTCCTCAGCGCATTCGACAGTGGCAAACTTGACTTTGGGTACGTCAGTAATGTGCCCGAATTTTGGAGCAACACTGTCCGCCAGTGTTGCAGACGGTTTTTAACGAGCTATAGCGTAAGGCGTTGAGTTCTCTTCCAAGAAATGTTGTTCAGACATAGCCTTACGAAACACGCCATTCTTGTTCATGATTCGCGAGAGTATATCATTATAAAATGATGGCCTGGAGTACTGAAACGTCGTCTTGCGAACTGAGCACATGGTATACTGTTAGTCTCAAATTTTAAAGAATGAGAAATGGGATAAAATGAGAGTGATAGAGATGACAGAAATTGTGGTCTCCGCAATACTTTTCTTATTATAACTCGTCACACGGAAAGAAGTTTTGCCTTTGTTTTCCGCATTCTCAGAGTGTAGCACGCGACTTTGGGTCTTATAGACAGGTCAATGTGTGTAAAACCGGAAATAGTCGGTTGGTGAGACTTTCGCATTCTCTTACACAAAAGAATCTCCAGCATTAAAGGGCTATTGGATTGGATCTTGAATATGCAGTCACGCCGCCAGCGTCTATATACGCTAGTCTTTGAGGGCGGATCAAAGTCGGATCGTGTGGAATACATGCTTACGGCGGCAAAACTGACGGTTTGTCTTGTGACCTTCCCTCTAGCTATAATATAAAATTCTTTAATTCGAACTATCAACGAATTTTTTTCGAATGTTGTATTATGTAATAATTGACTTTTCGAGGGAAACTCTACGAGTATGATATTTGATTGACGTTTTCATTTTAGTTAACCCTAGCGATCCGCCCCGGCTACGCACGGGTGCAAGGTATACATATAAACCTTTCTCTTGAATCACTCTATCTAGTTAAAAAACCGCATCAAGATCCGTTGCGTAGTTTTAAAGATAAGGACAGACAAACAACGACTTTGTTTTATACTATGTAGTGATTTATGGAGGCCGAGGGGTCAAATCCCAGCGTTCTGTTCCAATGAGCTATTCAGATTTATGATCAGAATTCAGTGTGAAACTATTTAGTGTACGTAATTTTAACTGTGGTAGCATCTTACAGCGGTATTTGTTGTTTCACGAATGGGCGGGCTCGTCGGGGCAATTACCACGGCATCACAGAAGAAGTATATACTTTCGCGTTTCGTCTGGAGAGACCAAAAATATTAATGGTTGGCAACCCCTCTGCAACCTGCCAGATATTGTAGATGTCCATGAGTGAACAAGATGGCAAGAAACTTTTCGAAAATATTTGAAGTCTGCCAATCCGTATTGGGATCGCGTGGTGGACTTTACAAAGGAGGCCTTTACCCAGTTGTGGGACTTGCATACGCTGTTACTTACTTCGCTATAGGTGGCGTTAATCACTTAACATCTGATGAAACGCAACATCACTAGTCAACTGTTCACCTAAAAAAACCGGGTCCCACTTAATATCACTTGCCAACTATTAACATAAACCGGACCTACTTAATTAAAAGGAGAAACTATTCGAGTATTGCAAATGTCCATGGGTGGTAGATATCTTAATTTATAGATATCATATGTAGATATCATAATTAATTTTGACGTTTCATAAGAACGCGCAAGCGTCTATGTGAATAAAGATATTTTATTATTATATCACTTAACATTAGTTGAACCGCCAACTCGCTAGCTTAATCAACCATCACTGAATAACAGAAAACCTTTATCATACAGTAAGGGTAATGTTTTAAATGAATTATGAAAAACGACAAAGTTTCGTTTAGCCGTTGGCGCGGAAAAAAAAACGAAGATTGATACTGGCGATTTACGTTTTTCGAAAAGAAATTTGCCAGCAGCGTATATATGGGGGCAACGGAGCGTCGGCCCGCTATCGACAATTAATTTCCTATCGGCCGATAAGCGAAAAATCATTTTCGACTCGCGTATAACGTATTAAATTGGCTTTTCGTAGAACTCGAAACGATTCGTCTTCCACATTGAAATTTCCTGC